GTGGGCCGGCCCCGGGGGGCGGAGCCTGTGCCTGTGTGGTTGGGCAGCTGGGGGTGCCGCTGCTGCCGGACCGGAGAGTCCCCGGCTTGTGCGTGGTCCCGCTGCAGGGAAGAGAAGAAAGGATGGGTCAGTCAGACAGGCCGACCACTGTCCCCACACCTCATGCCCTCCACCCCTGAGCCCAGGTGACACCACAGTAGTGTGGCTTGGGCCCACTCGGTTCCCCCCCTACTCTCCGTGTTGTATGTTTGCAAGGAGGACTGCCCCTGGAGTAGGGTCCTCCTCCATGCCTTGTAACCACCGGTCTGTGTCCTGGCCCCGTGTAGGGCGGGAGGGCGCTTGTGTTGCATTAACCCGTGGAACTCCCTGCCGGTGGAGGTGGTGAAGCTTTGGGCTAATCACTGGTGTTTGACAGGGAGCGAGATGCATCCCCACACAGTGCCTGGGAGCACATCTGGCAGAGGTGGTCTGGGCTCTCAGATCCCATCATGTGGGATATCTCCTGGACGGAACCAGAAGAGTGACTGGGGGGGGGGTTCCCATCCTTGCAGCAAAACTCAGGGCGGGCCTTCTCCCTCCCACAACCCCGGTAGCCCACGGACATGTGTGGCCACAGTGGAGACTTCCCTCGGGGAGCCAGCCAAGGTACCAGGAGCAGGCGAGGGGCTCGGTGGGGGCCACGGTCACAGGACTGTGACGCTGCAGTTTACCCAAGAGCAGCTGGCTGAGCCTCACAGCCAGGCATGGGACAGTGTGCCATTCTCCATGCTGCATCCTTGGCAGAGGTGCGGGCTCTGAGCTGAGTCCCTGGGGCCCTGGCCGGTTCCAGCCGGCATCCACCCTTATGTTTGGGATAAAATACTTGACTATTAGGCTATGTCTACACTCGTGACATAGCCACCATTTTTTTCAGAAGAGGCTCTTGCGCAAGAAGGAGCATCTACGCTGCCCCTTCTTGCGCAAGAAAAACCCTCTTGCACAATGCCGCTACACCTATTACTTTTCAGGAAGAACAGCTTTGTGCAAGAGGGTTTTTATTGCACCCCTTCTTGCGCAAGAGCCTCTTCTGAAAAAAATGGTGGTTCATTACGTATGCAAATGAGGCTCAGCGATATTCCACACTTAGCCTCATTTGCATATTACTTGCACAAGAAGCTGCGAGTGTAGACATAGCCTTACAGTATAATGCCATCACTTATAATAAAACAATTTTGCTGAAGGAAATTCAGAAAAAAACCCAGTATTGCAGACTAAAATGCTGAAAGTCTTGTATTTTTCAAAGTAACAATGGGACTGCAACATGAAGTGATACAAATTACAAGTTTCCTAAGAGACTGAGGATAAAATCAAATAGAGGCTAATGCCAGGTGTCCCTGAGGGAATGAACAGAACAGGTAATCCTCACGTGATCCTTCCCCTATCATCCATTTCCAGCCCCTGGCAAATAGAGGCTAGGGACACCATGCCTACCCATCCTAGCAAATAGCTGTTGGTGGACCTAACCACCATGAATTTATCTAGCTCTTTTTTTAACTTAACTGAAACCACATTTATCCAAACGAATGCCTTCTTCTGTATTTCAGACACAACCCCACTAGGTGCCAAGCACCCTCAACTTCCATTGGCATGAAGTCTCAGCATTTTGCAAGATCAGAATCTTCTTGCACTTAAACAAGATTTCTTTCTGCGGGCTTTAAATATTACGCTCTCTTGTTTTTATTATGTTGCCTTCACTGAAAACAGTTTATTACTGCAAGGGTTCCCGTGGTGAAAACTACATTTGAGATTACCCTCCTATAAATAGTCTCAATGTGGGGCTGCCTTCGGAAGATGAAGGTAGGGTAGAATGCAGCAGCCTGTTTATTAGGCAGTGCGTCACACAGAGGGCATATTACACAGGTGTGCCAGGATCTGCACTGGCTTTCCATTAGTTTCCTGGTGGAGTTTAAAGCATTATAATGCACTAGTTGGTTCAGAACTTGGTTACCTGAGAGAGCTTCTCTATTTCAAGGGGATATGGCCACAGCTGCAACCAAAGGAGATTCTCTTGAACCAATGGCCTTACGTATAAATGAAAGAAGTCTGTGGCAAGGTGATTTTTATTAGCAGTCCTGATACTCTGGACTCTGAAACTGACTCCATGTCCTACACCTACACAACCCAGGTCTGCTGATCTTTAGAAGAGTATGCTGTAGGTGTACCTATTGTCTGAGTGGGGCAGATTGAGAATGAAGGTGGTCATATAATGGGGAGGGGGTGGCTTTATTTGAGTTGCTTTATTGTTCTGGCATTTGTAGGAGAAGTTCTAAGTACTTCCACCACTGTCACCTACCGGACATGCCAGAAGCGCATTCTAGCACTTCTTTTTGTAGGAGTGGAACACTGCTTTACAATAATAATCATCATAATAGACATCTTACTGTATTTTGATTTAATTTATTTTAAAGATTTGTAAAAGTAGCTGGGAGCCTGATCTGTAGAAGAGCTGAGCACAAAGCAATGAAAGTGCTCTGAAAACCAGGCTCTTAGCACCTTTTAGAAGCAAATCCCAAACACTTAGCTAAATAAATGTGTTCGGAAAGACTATGCCCTGGCTCAGGGAGATATGTAAAAACATCCTGTCCATCTGATTTGCTTCAGCTGCCACAGTCATCTGCAAATATATGCAGCGAAGTCACACTTCTCAGCTGGATAAAGAAGGTATGATTGTGAAAAGATTTTAATTTCAAATGACATTTTACAAACCCTTGGTATGCCTTTTGTGCTATTCGCTTTCATTGCAACGCCTGCGTGTGAAAAAGACTTGTACGCTGAGGCCCTCTGGGGATCAAAGCTCAGTAACGCAACACTAAGACTTTTAGGGGAGAAAAAACATCATGTACAAACGTATCTGACAAACAGCCAATGAGAACAACAGGCTAGCATCAAATAAGGTTCACAGATGCTTGTTTTGACATGCAATTGTGCAATATCGCTGAGCATACGGTTTTCTACTATTGCTGCCATAATAAGGACACTGGTACTGTCTGTTTTTTCACTAGTACTCTGGCAGGAGTCAGCTAAATGAACTGAAACCAAGGTATGTCTACACTACAAAATTAGCTCAATTTTATGTAAGTCGACACTGAGGCTTCAATTTTAGTAAGCTTATTCTGCCTGTCCTCACTTATGCACATTTTGTTGGCCGAGTGCATCCTCACTAGCTGGGCTTGCATTGACTCATGGAGCAATGCATTGTGGGTAGCTATCCCATAGTGCATGGAGCCAATTGTACTGTTGAGTTGGGCTTGCACTAAGAGGGTACTCCCGGGAAAGGGTCCCCAGCAGGCAGAGGACGCCTACTTATCAAATTGCTTGTGGCTTAGGGGCACAGGGCATTTATAACTTCCCTCATTTCCCCTAGGTAACCATATACAGCATCACTCTCCTGAGAGTAACAGGGGCGGCAAGGGAGCAGATACTGCAAGGGTCTGGGTACAGGCCTGGTCCTTATGCTGCAGTGCTATGTGCTGCAGTAATGCCTGAAGAGTTAATACTGGAATGGCCTGAAAAGTTCCCTACTGTGGTGGACAAAATAAGGCAGACCTTCCCAATAACCTGCAAAAGGACCGTGGAGCACCCGAGAGATCACCATGGAGGATTCCCAAGTCATCCCCAAATACATAAACAGGTTTTTTCTGCAATGTGGGCTGCCACTAACTATGATGATGCTATCCCCGTTTTTAATTCAGATTAAACATTAAAAATAATAGCACGTAACCCCCACAGTGTGCTTGTAAATGTGTATTCACCAGAGCTGCCTTCTCTGGCATCATGCTCTGCCAACAGTTGCTCCTGTGAAGGGATGGACTCCAGAGATTACAAAAGTTCTTGGCTGTTGGGGAGAATGGATCCTCTGCTTGCCTACTGCATGTTTTCCTCCTTTTCCTCATTAATAGCACAGTAGGCACAGTGCCTAGGTCCCATGATACTTTTAGGAGCCCACAAAAATGTTTTAATTTCTTTTAAAATCAGAAGAAAAAAATGAACTTTTAGGGTCGAAGAAAATGTTTTAATTTTTTTCTCACATCAGAAAAAAATGAAACTTTTAGGGCCCACAAAAATCTATTAAATTTTGCCTAAAACAGAAAAAAAATAAAATGTTGAAGTATTTAAAGTTATATCAAAAATAATTTTTAATATTGATATTATGGTGAGAGGGGCCCACAAAGGCATAAGTACCTTGTGCCCACAAAACTTTTAGGGCCCACAAAAATGTTTTATTTTTTCTTAAATAAGAAAAAATTAAAATGTAGTAGTAATAATTTATTTTCATGCCGTTCGGCCTTGAAAGTATGACTACATACATAGAATACTAAGACATAAAATACAAACCAAAACAAATATACATACAATTCAAATCAAAAGGTCAGTCACATATTAATTGCCACCGAGATAATTTAACAAATTATTGATCCCCATTATTATGATCCCCAACATGGGGGATCATTACCATTATTGGAACAATTATGCAAATGAGAATCACCACGAAAAGCTAATCCTCTTTCAGCCAAAAATGTTACAACTACAACTACGGTACTCTCTTTAATACTTCTATCCAGTAGGCACACAATCTCTCATTTTCCTTCTGCAACTCTGCATCAATACTTGTATATATTCAATGTTGTAACATCGATAAGGCACTAAGATGGTCTTTGGATATTTCATGAGAAGAAATTCTTACAGTTGCATTTTTCCAATCATCAAAACCGGTTTGAAATTGATTGGATATTATATCTGAATGTGTGCTAAATAGTTTGCATAAGTAGCAATATACTTTACTACTAGAAGGAGAATAAATCAACCAGTCTCTTGTTATTGCCTCTCCATTGTTCATTTGCCTGATAAAATATTCTCTTCGCACATATCTCATCTTATCACCAAATAGTTTACTTTTAGTAAAAAATTGGATTCTAAATTTTGCGAAGGAATATTTTTTGTATAATATTTTTTTAGATCAGGTGTTACAACCCATTCAGCTGAATCACTACTGTATAACAATCCTGTATTTGCAAAATTAATAAATTATTTATATAAAGTAATCCCTAACCTAAATAGATGATAATTTACTGATGAAATTACTTATAATACATACCTTTTAAGTAATCAAAACGGAGAACACTTTGATATATGCACTATTATTTTGTACTATAGTGAGAAGCTTAGTGACTGTGAACTGTATGGCCAATATGGCCTCGGCCATAGGCGCCAACTGAATGATGGCGGATAGGAGGCCCGCTTAGCCTCAGCTCAGTTTACTTCATGCAATAAGCCAGATACATACTTCGACTGCATTGCCTAAAACAGAAAAAAAATGTTGAAGTATTTAAAGTTATATCAAAAATAATTTTTAATATTTTTTTTTTTATGGAGGAAGGGGCCCAGGAAGGCAAAAGTGCCTAGGGCCCACAAAAGTCATAATGCGGCCCTGTTAACAGTGTCCTGCTCATTGTTTCCCGTGGCTGCCCAGGGCTTCTGGGAGGTATCCACAGAGAGTTTTGTGGTAGTGGTGGCATCACTGCCTAGAAACGAATGCAGCTCCTCATAGAAGTGGCATGTCTTTGGCTCAAAACCAGAGCGACTTTTTGTCTCCCTTGTCTTCTGGTATGCTAGCTTAAGATCCTTTATTTTCACAGTGCACTGCTGTGGATCCCTGGTGTAGCCCTTGTCTCCCATGCCCTGTGAGATTTTGGCATGGATCTTAGTGTTTCTTCTGTGGGTTCAGAGCTCTGCCTGCACACTCTTCTCCTCACCCAGCAATCAGATCCAGTGTCGCCTGTGCGATGTGTGGCTGCTGACTGAAGCACTATGCCTCTCGCACAGGTGGAGTTCAGAAGCCCTTTGGGTCGGCGGGAGGCACTCAGTAGTGTGGACACATACGTTATTAACTCGACCTAGCATGGCATACGTCAATCTAACGGTGTAGTGTAGACCAGGTCCAAGATCAAAAAGCTTGGCAATGTAAATGCCTGAGCCAAAACCCACTGGAGTTAATTGAAAGGACTGGACTTGGGATCAAGTCCTTAGTTTCTCTCTCCTTGCTTTGCCTAGGTTTTAATATTTACTCTCACTTATTTTACTTTTATTTACTACAACCTCGGAAGAAGCAAGAACATCTTGCATGCATGACACATAGACAAGCAACCAGAATCAATAATGCAGCTTTGAACCTTCTGATGATGCAGGCATTTCTGAGTGTGTGTGCACTTTTTTGTAAATGTGGGCTGTAAACACCCCCTCCAGGATGCCCCAAGTAAGAGTGCTGTAGCCGGCTGGGGGAAGGTAGGGGTGGCGCGCTGCCGGAGTCTCCCTCCCCCATGCTCCAGCCAGCTGGGGGAAAGCTGGGGCTGATTCCCCCCACCAGGAGCAATGCCCAGCTCTTTCCCCACTCTGGGGAAGGGAGGACTCAGCCCCAGCCTTCCTGAGCATGGGGGAGGGAGGCTCAGGCAGCAAACTCTTTGTGCCTTTTCCCATCTGGCTGGAGCATGCTTACTTGGGAGACCATGAGCAGGGGGGTGTTTGCACCCTTCACACACACATCCCTGCGTATGGGCCTGTGATGGGTACCTATTATACCTATCTCATAGAGCTGGAAGGGACCTTAAAAGGTCATCTAGTCCAGTCCACTGCCTCCACAGCAGGACCAAGTACCA